TAGGCCTCAAAAAATACCCAAACTCGTAAATTTCTTAAGGCAGATACCATAACCCTATTTTACAAAGAAGGAAACTGTGGCTCAGAGAGGTGAAGCGACTTGCTCAAGATCACATAGCAACAGCAAGAGCTACCGAAGCCAAACTTTTCTAATTCGTACCAAGTCCTTTTCCATTGCACTAGTATTAATTTATAATTATTAATAATAATTAAATCACTTACTTATTGTTATTTATTAATAGTATTATTACTGTTATCAGAGCTGCCATTCATTGAGGTGTTACTCTGCCGGGCACTTGTACAAAGCATTTCACAACTATATCCTTATAATAATGCTCACCATAATGAGATTGATATGGGGAAGAGAAATGCAGCCCCTGACTTCCGGGAGCTGATGTGGCACATTCACAGTTGGCCTTTGATCTTCTGATGAACACAAACAATTCCACGGAACATCCAAACCAGATAAAGCCATTCTGTGCCCATGGTGGATCAAGATGAAAACATGACACTGTGTACTTACCTTTGAACACAGACAAAACATGAGATTATACAAGCCACAGAATTGACCAGCACTCCCCTATCCTGGCTAATACGAGCAACTGCTATTTCTTTACTAACTACAGCATTCACCTCTATCTTGTTTCTCTGCTTATAGTTAAAATTAAGGTTCCCAATCATAGAACTGCCACACTTCCCGATAGCATCCGATCCAGAGCAGAGCCAGCTTCCTTAAACCCTCTCCCAAATCACCTAACACATGCCTAAATCTCCTTACACTAGGAACAGGGGTGTTTCTAGTGGTCTATGGCTGGAGACACTAACAGGTATAGCCATTATCCTTATTTTACAAATAAGGAAAGTGAAACTCAGAGTTGAGAAATGTGCCCAGGACTACAAGATAGTGAGTGTCAGAACCTCTATCTATGCTCTCATTGTCTCATGATCCCTGCTCTTTGAGCTCTCTATGTCTCAATTTCCTCACGTGTAGTGAGACTACTAGATTCTGCTCTCCAGAGTTCCCTCCTGCTCACACTTTTCCAGAGGCAGGGGCATGAAAACATTGTCAAAGGGGCTTCACTTGAAAGAGCTGAACCTCCCTTTGACTAAGGGACCCCCTAGATTCTGAACAAGTCATTCCCACAATGCCTTGCAGCTGGGAAGGTCTAATAATTAACTTCAAGAGTGGTGCATCCTGGGAAATACCTCCATGAGCCTAGGACTCCTGTCCACCACCCATCTCCTCCTCCCGGGAGGGTGACTTGGGAATTCTTACCCTTCTGGGCATCCTCCTATTCTTACACTAACTGCTCTCCTTCAACCCAGTCAGGGGACATCCTAGCAGCCTCTGCCTAAATTGTAGAGAGTGAAAAGAGAAATTCCCCCAACTTTAAATCCTGACAATCTGAAAATTGGTGGACGGGACTTAGCAAAAGGTTGCACAAGAACCTAACAGACATTTTGTGGGAGGGGGCACTTCCTTGATTGCATCTCCCAATCTTTGCAGAACTGCCATAGGACAAAGAGGGCAGACTTGGTCAGTGGGTTTCTTGGGAGTAGAGTCAGGACCAACATGGAAGGTGGGGGAGGGGGGGAGGGGGACACTTATTGGGATTGGTCAATGACAAAAAATGGTTCTAAAGATGAGTGCTGCCTGCTGGCACCAGCTGCCCGACATAGTAAGCTCCCTATAGGAGGAAATATAGAAGCTGAGGCTGACTGACCAGCTGCCTTCTATGAAATTGGAAAATTTAATTATTCAGGAGCCTTCCCCAATTTTCTTCCAACACCAGATCACCGCCCCATCCCAACACCCATGCAGCTGTGTCGCTCACCTCTGATGGGTCTGTTTCTTAGAGATGATAAAGGCAGCTGGCTTCACTGCCCTCCTGAGCTGGGACTAGAGGGATGGAGCAGGGTGAGGGTTCTCATGTAAATGAGGTGGTTCCCCCATCTCTGTTAGATAGCTCCCCTTCCTCTGCTCTCCATGAAGGAATAGATCTCCCCAGTTCATCTGAATTTGGGGTTGGGTGGACTTTGAGGAAAAGTTGGGGTCCTCTCATCATGCTCAGCAGCTATTTGGAAACCTATACACTCTAGCATCCTTGTGATGAGGTGGGAAATGGATGGAATTAGAATATTTTTTTCTCCCCTCCACATTTTTGTCATACCCAAAAGTTCATGCCCCGCCACCCCTTCTTTCTACCTGATAGAATCCAACTCACCCTTCAAAACTCAGCTCAGACGTGACCTCTTCAGGGAGGCCGGGCTTTGACCTCTTCAGCTGAGAGCCAGGGTCTCCATCTCCATCCCACAACACACAAGTTGCTGGAATTCTATGCCTCTGCCTCCCACACTGGACGGGGGACTGACTGCGGGTACTGTCCTGGTCTGATGGTCTCCCAAGTGGGGTACACTGAGGTACCGGAAGAAAATATTGAGAAACTTCTGTTTATTTGTTTCTAAGCTACCCTTTATTAAACCTGATATTATCAAACACTTACAACGTACATGATAGTACACCAGTGTGCATATAAATTATAAATAATTATAAAAATGGGAGCTGCAAACTCAAAATCGTTTTACTGATATGGCTGTGAATGATCAAATATATTTGGAGGCTACTGTTTTGGTCATTACTGGTTCCTGATGCCTGTCACAAAACACGTTTTAATACATGAGAGAATGAATGAATGAGTGATGTTGCCTGGGTCTCGTTTATTAAACTGATCGTGTGTTACCTGGGTGACTGTGGGGAAAATACTTCCTTATTAGGCCCCAAGTTCCACACCTGTGAAATAAGGAGCTTGGATTAGACTCTCTGTCACATACCTTCCAATATTAATGTTTCTAAGTGGTATCTGAGTCACTCATTGTCCAGTAAGGGACAGTATAATTTAGTCAATAATAATCCTAGCAAATGCTTAAGTTCCATGAATTACATGGTCTAAGGGCTCAGCATGTATGAATGCACTGATCCTCATAACCACCCCATGTAGGAGGAAGATAGGCACAGAGAGGTTAAATGACTTGTTCAAAGCCACATAAACGGTGTGGCGGTTGTGTGCCCTACCCTTACCCCTGGGAGCTACACGCCCAGTGTTGCTGGTTGACTTCCAGCTGCCAGTACAGCATCCCCTGATTTGCAATTTTGCTTTCCACGGCTTCAGTTAATACTCCCAAATATTAGTAAATGGAAAATTCCAGAAACAAATAATTCCTAAGTTTTAAATTGCACACCGCTCTGAGCAGCTGGCTTCATCTCATCATTGTATCATCTCACATCATCACAAGAAGAGCGGGGGTGAGTACGGTCCAATAAGGTATTTTGAAAGATTGAGATGTAGTCACAATCAGTGGGGGTCCTGGGACATGGGCACAGAGCAAGCCAAAGTCCTCAACCCATGAATGACAGGGAGTTGGTGTGTAAACACCCCCTTACTGCGGGGGGGGGGAATAGTGAGAAAGTGCCCGACCCCACCTCCCCAAGTCCCCTGGGGATTAGCACCAGTGGGCTTGATGACTCCAGTTGGTAGGCTGCCTGTCCTTCCCTTTCTCACCCGCCCCCACCTAACCTAATAAGCTGCTTGCCCTCTGCTCCTTGGGAACCCCAAATTAAGCCCGACCCAGGCTTTGGACCCTTGCAGCTTGGCTGGAGAGTCTGGGTTCTTCTTCCAACCAAAGGACAATGGCTTTGGATCAGTCAGATCGGCCCGGGTTCTACCATTTATATGCTCTTGTGGGTTGACCTGTGTCTCCCCAAAAAAGATACCTTGGAGCCTTAACCCCTATACCTCAAAATGGGACTTTATTTGGCAATAGGGTCTTTATAGGGGTGATGGAGTTAAGATGAAGTCATGAAGCTGGGCCCTAATCCAATATGACTGATGGCCTTATAAAAAGGGGACATTAGGACACAGACAGGGGACATGCAGGTGAAGATTGGACTTATGCTGCCACAAACCAAGGACCTTCCAGGAGGTAGGAGAGGGCCTGGGACAGACCCTTCTTCGGCGCCTCTGGAGGGAGCACGGCCCTGCTGCCTCCAGGACTGTGAGAGAATAAATATCTGTTGTTTACTGTTACAGCAGCCCCAGGACACTAATATGCCAGCAATGTGACATCTCCGTGCTTCCATTACCTCCCTCGCGGATTCTTAGGATGATTCAAGAAATAACACATGTAAAAGCCTAAGCGCAGAGCCCGGTGCACAGAAGGCGCTCACTAAATGGGTGGTTGCTATGTTGTAACTGAAATAGCAAATCCCCTCCTCCCACAAACCACCTCAGGGAAGGGGTTCCTTGGACAAGTGGACAATTAAGCCTCATGCTCCTTCCATTCTCCTTCCAGCGAGAACCACCTGCCCTGACCTTTGACCTGGCTCAAAAGTTAAGAACAAAGGCCTTAATGTGGAAGCCTCACCTGGCATTTTGTGGAGATGGGTGGGGGGAGGGGGCATAAAGAGGTAGATGGCGCTCTAAGGGGTTTGCTTCCTACACCTGGTGGGGCCCAGCCTAAAGGCCGGAAAAGGGGCCGTACCCACTGCTTGGCAGAACAGTGGGAAGCGCCACCGTTTTTTTTTACCGTATGGACAGGACACGGGTTCTTGGTTGCAAACAACAGAAACGAGTTTATTCAACTATAAGGCCAGAGAGTCTGAGGCCTCAGGCAGGAAAAGGTGCAACATGGCTGTGGGGGGAGGGGCTTCTATGGTGAAAACACCCTGTCACCACTAAGTCTCGAAACTGGGAGCCAGAAACTCCACCACCGCCAGCCCCAGAGATCCCAGCGATGGTGGGGTGGCTTCAACCCTCTGGCCCTACAGTCAACCCAGTGGAGAAGGAGCTAAGTGCTAGGGAGAAAGTGATGAGAGAAACAGGCACACAGTTGTTGCTCTCATGTTGCTCACAGTCCACTGGAAAAGACGTCAAAACCAGCAGAGCGTGGGCAGAGGGCAGAGGCTGGGTTTTGTGAGGAAGGGAGGGTTGAGAAGGGAGCAGAGGAGTAGGCTGAACCGCTTCAGAAGGTCACCATGGCCTAGCCCTGCGTGGGGTCTCCTTCAGCATCTCAGGGCAGCTCAGGTTCCAGGGTCCCTGCAACCAGAAAGGGACTTGTAGATTGTCCTCAGTGAAGCCTCTTGCCCGAGGCAGTCCATCCTGACAGATCCTAGACCATCCCAGGAATGAGCAACGACCCGGATGACTGACAAGAAGGGACTGAGTTTGGTGGCAGCTGGGAAGCATTGCAGACCCGTTCTGCAGGGTGGCCGCCTCCGTGTTCCCACCGGAAAAAAAGGAACAGGTGAGAAGGCTCGGATTGTCTCAAGGGGCGCTCCTAGCAGTGACCTTCCGCCAAGCTGGCCATGGCGGATGTGCTTCGTCTGTGGTTTCACAGGACACTGCTGCCATCCCCTCCTCTGAAGGCATCGAGGAAGAGACACCGTGCAGGTGTGAGGGGCGCAGGGCCCCTGACCTCTGCCTCTATCCCTACCCTTCCGGCCCCCTCCCTGCCCTGCCCCCGCCTTACCCTCCGTCTAAGGCTCGTCCTCATGCTAGTCCTGGGGCTCCTCCTCGTCCTCCTCGTCCTCCTCGTCCTCCTCATCGTCCTCGTCCTCACCATCGTCCTCGTCCTCACCATCATCCTCACCGTCGTCCTCGATGTCATAGTCGTCATCCTCAGGCTTCTCGGCCTCGTATCCGTCCTGGTCCTCAGGCTCCAGGCTCTGGCACACGGGCACCTGGATCAGGTCCGCCTCCTCAGTCTTGTCCCCAGGCTCGTCCTTGAGTTCAGGCTGAGCCTGGAGCTTGTCCTCGGTCTCGAAGGCTGGTTTTCTCCCACTGCAGACTCGGGTGCACTCATCCTTGGTCAGGAAGTTGTTGAGCTTGGCTCTGCCGCCGCCAAACGCGAAGGCCTCGCAGACCCCGGACCTGGTGTTGAAGAAGAACCTGGGAAACACCGCCTTCCCGGGACCCTTGTAGGGCGGCTCCAGGCAGAACACGGGACGGCCTGCAGGGAGGCGACAGGGCTCGGGTCAGCGCTGAGGACCGTTGTCACAGGAGGACGGCCTACACAGGGAACAACCCACATGGCTCCAGATGGAGGAGGGTCGGGGGTGGCAAAGGAGACGGGGGAAACCTTCATTTGATGGCCTGCTTTTCTGGGGCATTATTAATTTTGTTACGCGTGACAATGACATGGTGGTAATGTAAATAATTATATGTCCTTAATGAGTATGTATGGATTCATTGGCATAATGACTGAGATTAGCTTCAAAAAGCTCCAGAAAATAAAAGCATACATAAACAATATCCTCCATCTGTCAATAGTTGTTGCAGCTGCACAGTGGCTACATCGGGTGTTATTATACTAATCCCTGTGCTTTGTGCATGTTTCAAAGTTTCCCCTCTTAAAAAAAAAAGTTTTAAAGTATCATGCTGTCATGGAGAAAGGCATGGAAGGAAACATACCAGCATGTTAACTTGGGTTACCCCGGGGGATGGGAATAATGTAATATTGGGTGTGTGTGATATTGTCACTTATAATAAGAAATATACATTTGGTGTGTGGGTCCCATTCCTGCCTGGCACCGAGCTCACTCAGGGGTGAGATCAAGGTGTCTTTTGTTAGGTTATTGAGGTAACTTTTGGAAAGCCCCTAGGTAACCTAAGGAGAGGGGTTGGTTGCCAGGGGAACCAACCAGCATATTGACAGGGTTGGAAATTTCGGCCCCCTACCCCTCCTCCTGGGAGGGAGGGGCTGGAGATTGGTCCCATAGCCAATGGCCAATGATTTAAAACAATCATGTCCATATGATGGAACCTCCAGAAAACCCAAAAGGACGGGGTTCAGAGAGCTTCTGGGCCGGTGAACACATGGAGGTCCTGGGAGAGCGGTGCCTGGACACAGCAGGGAAGCCCCGTGCCCTTTCCCCATCCCTTGCCCTCTGCATCTCTTCCATCTGGCTGTTCCTGATTTACATCCTTTTATTTACATCCTTTTAAACCTGGAATCTAGTAAGTAAAATATTTCTCTGAGCCTCTCTAGCAGGGGGTAGTGGGAACCTACGATCTATAGCCAGTGGGGCAGAAGCATAGATGACAATCTGGACTGGATGGGCATAAGTTGTCAAAACAGAACATGTCTTGATGCTTATTTAAGATAGGAGCTTAATAAGTCTCTGAATTATTCAATGGGTTTGTTCAGCCACAGACTTCTTAAGCCCTTCAATAAACCATCAAGCAAACGGAGAAAAAAAAAAACTAAACCCTGTGAAACACAGGCTGAAAATGTCACATAACTGTCCAGAGCGCAGAGGGCAAGCTCTCACTTATGAGATGACCTTTGCATCACTTTGGAAGTTTCTTGCTTGCACATAAGAAATCACAATTCTCTCCTTTACAAAACCACCTGACCTCTGCAGCAAATTCTTAAAACCCAGATAACTGGTAAGGGTTTCTGGGGGCACAGCCCCACACTCACTCCCCTATCCCTTAGCTCCACCCCAGCCAACAAAACACAGGGATGAGCGAGTCTGGGTTTTTCTCCCAACACCAACATGTTATGTCTCTACCAGCATCAGCCAACTCCCCAACACCAATTGGGCTTCCTGCAGTCAGTTCACGTCTGATGCTAATCCCTGGAGCTAGCAACAGACCTCACAGGTTAAGGGCTCAGTCCACAAGACTGCCCCCCGCTCCTGATGCCAGTCACAAGTTCATGGGGTGACCCATTCTCCTGACCAATCTGGGGTCCCATGACCCCACTCCACCCCCCAGGTCCAATAATTCACTAGGACAACTCACAGAGCTCAGAGAAGCACGTTACTCACTGTTACCAGTTGATAACAAAGAATAAAACTCAGGAACATCAAAATGGAGGAGATACGTAGGGCAAGGTGGAGTGAGGGTGGCTGGGGGTGGCTCTCTCGCTGGGTGTGGCACCCTCATGGCACCTGGAAGCTCTCCAAACCCGAGATATTTGGGGGTCTTGTTAAGGTTTCATTATGTAGTAGGGATAATTGATGAAATCCTTGGCCGCTGTCAATTGAACTCAATCTTGGTACCCTTCTCCCTCTCCGGAGGAGAGGGGGGTTGAAAGTTCTAACCTCGTCACCTAGTAGGTTTTCTCAGGCCCCTTCTGAAGTTATCTAGGGCCATGGCCTTGAATCATCTCATTACCATACGAAAGACAGTAAATGCCAAGACTTCTAAGAGGCCCAGGCCAGGAACCTAGACAGATCAAATATATATCTATTTATTATACTCCAGTGAGGTTCAGGGAGGAGGCAGGGCCCAGGAATACAGAGCATCTCAGAGATGAGGACAGAACCTGCTAGAGCTGTCCGATGAGGGTTAGGCAGGATATTTTTTAAGAGGACAACACAATGAGTTACTTTTTAGAGTCAAGAAATGTCCCCGGAGTTAAAACTTCCCAATTTACCATGAGAAATCTAGAGAGAGCAGATTGGCCTCATCCACCCACACCCCTGCTCCCCCAGCCCCTTCTCCAGATTCATTTTCTGCCCCAGTCCACAGAGGAGCGGTGAACTGGGACTTACGCTGGGAAGGGGAAATGGTGTCACTCCGCTGGGCGCCGGCCACCAGGATGTTCAAGAGGACGAGAAGGGCTGCGGAGAGGCAGAGCCGGTCCATCTTCTGAGCCTGGAGGGAGAGAGCTCCTGAGGCCCCGAGACTGACAGGGCTTTTAACATCCCAGATGAGGGGTGGGAACAGGTGCGGTAGTGGGGAATGAGGAAGGGGAGGAGCCTGGGTCGGACCTGTTCACACCCTAATCTCCCCACCTCCCCAAGCTTCCTACTTCTGCCTGCAGGGGACCAAAAATGCTCAGCAATAGTGCTTCTCAAACGTTAACATGCCTGAAATCATCCGGGGACTATAGGGGACTATACTGAAATGCAAATTCTGATTCAGCAGGTCTGGGGTGGGGCCTGAGAAGCTGCATTTCTAACAGGTGCATCCCCAGCCCCTCCCCTTGCCTTTAAAATGGTCCACAGAATCACCCTTTGAGTAGCAAGCCCAGAGGAAACCTCAGTGTGAGAGAAGGGAGAGCAGGCAAAGAGAAAAGCTGCTTTCCCCACACACCTTGGGAAAGAGGCAGAGGAGAAAAGATCAGGAAGAGGGGAGTCCCAGAGAACCCCCAAAATTCTCTCCCACTAATTTGCCCACTTGCCCGAACCTGCACCTTTACCTTACTTCTTTGAAATGGTCACACTGTCTACCATGTGACCAGTATAAGGTGCTTGACTTCTTCTGCAAAAATGAATCAGTCCCTTCCCATCCCACCTCCCTCAGGGGATTAAGCAACTGAGCGGATTTCCTGCGCTTGCACCACACCACACGGCGTGCATAGCTCAGTGAGGCTCAGCATTACAAGGCCACTCACCCACGGTCTGGATATGATTAAATTGCCAGGACCCACTAACAAGTGGCAAGTACCTTTAGGAGCAGAAATACCTTAATTCCTATCTTATGCTTGAGGAACAAAGTGAAGAAATAAAATGGAGTCACTGTAGCCAAGGTGATAAATTACTAAAACCAAGTAGGATGCAGCCTGAGGACATGATTCTTTTCTTGTTTTAAGTCATCTGGGAACTTAAACCATTGAAATTTCCAGTCCTGCGTCAATGCCTGAACAACCCTGCAGATAACCCGCTAAGGAAAGAATGTTCACATATCCAGACTGCATCACATCCATTATCCAAATGGTCTGACATTCATCATCCAGATCACCATTCATCTAGAGGATTACCATCTCAGACCAACCCAGAGGCTAATAACACAGGGCTGATTCTTCTCAAGAATCTTCTCAAGAATGTACTTTTTGCTATAAGAATTCTTAGCTTTTCTTTCTTCTTCAGAACCCTCCGGGTATTCCCTAGTCATATTTTCAGTTTCCAAGCCATGAATACCCTTGAATAAATCTATAATTTACCCAGCAAAGCCTCCAGACTCTGTCTGAGTTCGTTTGACATAGTGGAGACAAACTCATCCAGGAGTGTAGGACACCACAGTGGTTAAGATTGCATGTTTCTCCATCAGGGCGACTTGGGTTTAGGCAAATTTCTCAGTATTTCTGGACTTTGGTGCCCTCATCTGTAAAACAGGCTTGTTTATAAAATCAGCCTCTATTTCTTAGGTTTCTTGTTGTGAGGGTATACGAGACTAGTGAATAGAGAATGCACAGTCCTGTGTCCCTGGGTTGGAAGTGCTCAGTAATTCAGGGTTGCTATTATGATCCTCATAATCACACCTATGGGGGAGAAAGAAATTTTCCTCTACAATTCTAGGGCTTTTGGGCTGATCTAATAATTAAATCTACAGGAGGCAGATTAACAAAAGAAAGTAACCAGATCTGATTACATACGTACATATGGGAGCTCCACATACATGAGAAAGTCAGAGCCCCCACATACATGAGAGTTTTAGAGACAGAAATGTCTAAGGTATATATGGCATCTCGAGCCAAGGAATGAGATAAGATGCCTTGGAGCTTCAGAGGGAAAGGGGGTCATTCGCAGATTGATAAGACAACCAGATGTTCAGTAATTAGATGTTTGCCCTGCTGTACATAGGTCATAAATAGTCATATCTGATGGTAACTCTTGTTATCTTATTTGGAAAGACCTCAAATTTAAATTCTTTAACGGAGAGCTAAAAGGTTCTCTGGAGCCTACAGGGTCTCCATTGCCATCAGCTATAAATAATCCACATACCAAAGCAGCACGCCTTGGAAAGGCTTGTCCTGAACCCTGAGTCCCATCTTTGAAACTTCCCGAGAAGTTTCCACTTCTAGAGGTTGGGTTGATAGATTGACTTTACAGATATTGTTCACCCATCTTAGAGCCTTTGGATTTAGCACAGATTGCTCCCATGTTACAAGGATAGCAGGATGGCAAAATCTGGCACTGAGGGGCCATTTTTGCAGAAGCAGAATGGACTTCATCCACATGTGCCACAGTCTTTATAGATTTTGTGTGGCTGCCTTTGCATGAAAGTCAACTGAGCCATTTCTCTGACCCTCAGGTTCAGTTCTTTTCGTGTGAGCCTCCATTTTGACAACAGACGACATTTTATGCTAGGAGATACCAGACTGTATAGGTATATGGTAGAAGTGTTCCAGAAACTGTGCGAAAAACAGTATTTTTGCACAGTTTCTGGAACATTTCTATCATATACCTATACAGACACAACATAAAGAAAGCTACTGGATGCTGACTAAATAGGACCAAGGATTATCATGAAACAATACTTAATTACCTCTCTGACCGAAGTAGCAATAAAAGATTTCAAAGACAAATACAGAAGGTGAGCTCTTACTATTGAGAACATTCTATGTCCTTAAGTAATCAAAGACCCAATTAAGATGACATAAACACAGAAGCTTTGCTTTCTTGGCAGATTACTCAAAAAGGAAAACATTTTACAATGTCTTATTAGTACAGCAGGTGAACAGCCCAAGAAAACTGTGTCCTTTTAGCAGATGAAAAGAAATTAAGTTTTAGCGTTACAATGTACATCATTGATATTAAAGCTTAATTTTTAAAACCCTCATAAATTAATTCAATCTTATCAGCCTGATCACACATAAAATTCCTTTTTCAGGTTTCCTTTTCATAAACCTTATACAGCTTTCTGTTTCCATTTTAGTTCATCTCTTGTTCTCTTACCCATTCAGAAAAAAAACCCCAAAAAAACTTTTATGTTAGTACAGAATTACCTTCTTTTATTACCCACAAAAATGTATCTCCATACCTTAGTCCTTCTATTACCAAAAACATATATAATTTTCCTTCCATATTAGTTAGAATTCTTAATCCTTAGAAACCTTACATTTCTAGTGAAAATTAGGAAGCTAGCAATTGTGAACCATCTGTTACACCAGTATTCTTTAGATTGACAAGTTTATAAATACATTCTATAATTTCTAGAAATACATGCTTTTTCATACTGTAGTCTTTCATTGTGACACATGTTTATCAACAGACCCAAATTTATCTTTTAGTTTCTCTGTAATAAGCCAAAAGTTGATAGACCTATGTTCAGTAATTAATGTTTCATTCTTTTATCTTATTTGGAAATGATCTGGCTATTCAGTAATTTCCATCATTTAATTTAACTTTGCAAAATTCTAAGGTTTCAAGTCACCAAAAGATTTTGGGAAACCATTTTTAAGTACATATATCATAATGCATCATTATTGTTAACAGTTTTATCTCAAAACCTCTTATTCTACTGATACCTCTTTAATTCACTTGCTCTTAACAATGATGTTTGGATTACTAATGAAATTTTCATTATATTGAGTTATTTTTCTTGCTGACAAATTTTTGCAAATGAAATGACATGAACTTATTTCAGTAAACCTAGACAAAATAAAAATATTATATTTAATGGTGATAACGCTAAACATTTGTCTATTTTAATTAAACAAACATGTTTAATTAGTAGATCACATGAACCTGAAAGGCATTAGGGATAGTTTCCATTATATTATTCAGAACTTTTTTATGTAAGGGCTTTTTTGTTTAAGCCAATTAAATAGAAATATTTGACAAATGAGAAATACCATCCAGAGGTAGAAAATACGACACAACACACATGAACATAGACGGATGCAAACAGAGACCTTCTAGCCTTTGTTTTAAAATTACTGCCATGAGATGGGCATGATAATGTAAAATTAACTAGTCATTAGAGTACAGTTGGAATAGGTTAAGTTTATCCACTTAGATGGTTAAGGCTTTTTCTGATTAATATTTGTGGAGAAGACAATCTTATAGAAGCTGTGGGCTAGATCTTAGGCAAGGGTCCTTCTATACACGTTTGCATTTTTTTTTTAATTCCTTTCCTTTTCTTTTTTCTTCAGTCTTAGGAATTAAAGATGGTGAAGATAAATGTGCTTTGAACTGCTTCTGGAGTTGCATTTCTGGTTTCACAAATATTTGTAAGGTAAAGACAATTGCTCTCAATCCCCCCCACACACACCTCAAAGAATTGGGTTGTAATTTAAGTGACAACATAGATTGATCTACTCGTCCAAGTACATCATTGTTAATTTGCTTCTTTCCCTCTGGGTACAGTTTTGTTTTAGTTTAGGGGAGAAGACCTAAAAAAAAAAAATATTCCTGGAGGAAACCATCAGCAAAATGAAAAGACATCCCAGTGAGTGGGAGAAAATATTCACCGGTGAGACATCTGATAAAGGGTTAATATCCAAAATTTATAAAGAACTCATACAAATCAATACCAAAAAAATAATCTAATTAAAAAATGGGCAGAGGACCTGAATAAGACATTTCTCCAAAGAGGACACACAGATGGCCAACGGACATATGAAAAGATGCTCAACATCACTAATCAGCCCTTCTGCCCTATTGGTGGGACTGCAAATTGGTGCAGCCACTGTGGAAAACAGTTTGGAGGTTCCTCAAAAAATTAAAAATAGAACTACTTTATGATCCAGCAATTTCGCCCCTGGGTATTTATCTAAAGAAATTCAAAACACTAATTCAAAAAGACACATGCACCTCTATGTTCACTGCAGTGCTATTTACAACAGCAAAAATAAGGCCGCAACCTAAGTGTTTATCAATAGATGATTGGATAAAGATGCTGTGGTACATATGTACAATGGCCATAAAAAATTTAAACAATGAAAACTTACCATTTGCAACAATATGGATAGACCTAGAAGGTATTACGTTAAGTGAAGTAAGTCAGAGACAGACAAATACCATATGATCTCACTTATATGTGGAATCTAAAATACAAAATGAACAAGCAAAACAGAAAAAGACTCATAGATACAGAGAACAAATTGATGGTTGTCAGAAGAAAGGTGGTTGGGGACCTGGGTGAAAAAGGTAAAGGGATTAAGAAGTACAAATTGAGAGCCGGCCGACTGGCTCAGTTGGTTAAGAGCTCGCTCAAGAGTGCGAGCTCTGAGCAACAGCGATTCGAGTCCCGGCCTGAGCTGAGCTGCCGCTGAGCTGCCAACAGATGGCAGGATGGATGGCTCAGCTTAAAAAAAACAAAAAAAGTACAAATTGGTAGTTATAAAATAGTCACAGGGATGTAAAGTACAATACAGAGAATATAGTCAATAATATTATAAAAACTATGCATAGTGCCAGGTGGTTACTAGACTTACTGGGGGGATCACTTCATAACGAATATAAATGTCTAACCAGGGCCGGCCGAGTGGCGCGGTGGTTAAGAGCTGGCTTGGGATGCCAGAGGGCCCCGATTCGGATCCCACATATGAGGG